TGTCGGGGGTGCCCGGCGCGTCCAAGTACGTAGCGGAGGGTGCGTAGATGATGCTCAGCGAGGAGGGAGCGCCGGATATTCACAAAAGGTTTGCAAACTCGGGGGAAATTGCTTTCCCTCCTCGCTTAACTCAATTATTCGTTACTTTCGCCCCGTTAAAGCGCGTATCGCGAAAGTTATCCTCCTTTTCTACTCGCTGTTCGTCCTCGCGTCGTTGTCCGAAACGCGCGGCTACAACGCGTTTATCGCGGTATAAAGACCTGATTATGGGTCATTTAAGGTTAGAATAACTTGTAATCATGTACATAAATTTATTTCGATCGAACATTAGTATGTACTGTTGATACAAATATAAGTAATTCATATATCATAGCTTTAAAGTAAAATCTAATTGAAACTCTCCGGTGTCGTCCGGGTTATCAAACTATCCAAGGAGATGAAATTAGAGGAGGAGGACCCAGGTTTCATTTAATCTATATTTTCCGCAGGGTTCTAGGAAAATAATTGTGCAAAATTTCAACAAACGACAATCAACGCGACAAATGAGTTAAAAAAATTGTAAAAAAATCCCCAAAAAATGGTGCGTCACTTGTGCTGATAATTCGCGGTTATATCGGTACACGCTCAAACGGCGTCGCGATGGACAAGTCGTGAGGTGCAAAACGTGATCGGCAGTTTCAGCGTCGATGTGTAATGTTTACGCTGTTAATTACCGATTATCATGCGGTACGCGTGAAACTTGACGCAAATGGAACCTCAGTGTTGAACGCGTTCGATTATCGCCGTGCAATAATTACGATTTCGGTTTTGCGCACGCTTATCACGGCTCATCGCGGGGGGATTTTATTTTTTGGTCGACACGAATTGTCGCTCGCGAAATAGACGTTGGGAATTATTGCAATCGCCGTGCTGGAATTGCGACCCGCGGCAAGACGACGTAACAATGTAATTCTGCCGCGCTGGAAATTGACGCGACTATCCGCCCGGCGTCGTACTTCGTCTACTTCAAATGCAGCTTTAACGTACCGCAGCTCCGCGTTGTATTGCTCGCGACTTAGGCATTGCAACGCGCGCAATCTTGTTTTCGAAAAGCTGCCTCGCGGACCACACTTATCCGTTTTCGTATTACCGTGTTATTTGGGTTACTCGAGCGCTAAGTTGTTTACCGGTGGATGTAACGAAGATTGAAGCTGAGAGTAGGGAAGTTAGACGCCCGTTCGTTATTTATGTTAATTCTCTTAGCCTAAACACTACTGCCGCCACTGTCTGCCTCCCCGGTCGTTGCTACACGGTCGTTGAAATTTCGCCTTCCTTCCCTTTTTCTTCTCTCCTTTTCGGAAAATACAGTTACGTACTCGTTGTTTGAAGTTGCGTCGAGAAGAGGAGAGTTTGGCAAACTTAATTTCCATTTTTTCATCCTCGAATCCTTGAACAAATTTACGATTTGAATCGAGGGACGAGAGCTCGATATCGGCTGAGCGCGGCGCGTATCTCGCTCGACTTATCCCTTGATTTTTCGACGTATTTCATAGCGCGTTCATCGTGAATATAATACTGATATAATAGGATCTTGCGAATTATGCATCGGCCGTGTCCTATGTGCCGATTCAACGCGCGCCGCGGAAGCACCAAAAGTCAGACGAACAATGTTCGATATCACATATCCTGTCGCGCGGTAATATTTCAGTTCTCTCGTGCTCTTCTAATATGTCGGTTAACGTAAAGTATTTTAATTTCATCCGCGACGAGACTCGTGTCCGCGAACTCCACCCCGATACTTAACATGGTTTTCGTGCGCGCGCGCGAGATTTATACATTTAACATTCGCGCTCACGCGTGGTGTTACAGATTTAA